CAGAGGGGGAGGGGAGGGGACAGGAGGGAAGGAAGTGTGAGAGGGGGACTGGAAGGGCAGACAGCAATTTGGATATAAAGTGAAAAAAAAAAAGAACATATTCACAGGTTAGTGGTATTTGTAGTTGGAAACTATAGAATACCATAGACCCTCTGCCTTTGTGAATGGGTTGATTTATCAAGGAGGATATTTCGTAAAAATCAGATTTTTCTGATAAGTTTGATTTACTTATTCATGTGTTGTTGAACTATGCCACATCATGACTCATTGAGAAAGTCCTTACCATGTGTTGATAACATTAGCTTGGACATTTTAGACCATAGAACTATGAAGTAAATAAACCTTTATCTTTCATAAATTACCTAGTCTGTTGATATACTCACATACCAACAAAATGAGCTAACCTATGAAAATACAACAATACATAAAAGTAACTCTTGCTTTATGAGTGGACTGGGATGAGTTTATCAAATACTCCCATCACTTGTACTTTCAATATGTTAGAATGCACTAAAAATTCAAAATTCAACTGCATTGATTATAGCTTATGTTCTCTCATGATTGAGACAATGTCTACTTTGTTTCAGTGCTGAGTGCAAAGCATGATGTATAAAAGGCATTCATTTATGAATAATGGACATATAATTTAACTGTCTCAGGGACATTCTAAAGTCCTTTGATACCTAGGGTTATTTTTCTGAACTTCAAATGCTTTACAATTTTACCTATCAGGTTGGAGTATGCAATTATTTTTACCTCTTAATTCATACATGAAAAACTAAAAAATTTATACTGAACATATATTTATATAAAATGTAGGTTGAAACAGAAATTGTAATATATGGGTTTTTATTATAGTTATTTATATATCATCAATATCAATAATATTTTGCATTTGTGTAGTACTTTGAAAATTCAAAATAGGGAGTTGGAGAGATAGGTCAGTAGTTAATTCTTAGTTCCCACACCAGGTGGCTCACAGCTGCTTGTAACTCTAGTTTTAGGGGATCTAAAGCCCTCTTTTGGTTCTTGGAGAATCTACATGCATATAGCATATATTCATGCAGAAACACACACACATATAAAAAATAAATCTTAAAAAATCTTCAAGGCAGTGGATATTTGCATAGCTCCTTGTTTTAAACCACATATGTGTTCTATCAGAGCATACTACATTTTATCTGGAAAGCATTCTATACACAGTATTTCATTTATTTCCTGCACATGTTCCAGTGAGAGGTGTTTGTTTTATTTTCTCCTTTAAGAAACTTGAAAATAAGGCTAAGAAATCTAAGTGTCTCAAGCAAAAATACAAGGCTGGCAAGTGTCAGCATTAAAATCTAAGCTCTATGTCACCTGACATACATACAGATACTCTAAATTTAACAATATTACCTGAAGTATATACAGATACACTACATTTAACATTGAACACAGTGTCAAGACTGATATCTTCATAATGAATGAGATAATATAAACAATTCAAAAATAATGTAAGACATTTGAAAATTAGTGTTTTTTTTTTATTCTAGGAAGTGATCATTAGGTTAGGGTCATATTCCTATTATTAATAGTTTTTAAAGCATGAGCTAACTTCAAGGAACTGGAATGATGTTTCAAAGGTAGTTATTACAACTGACTGGAAATAGCAGTGCATGATGGGTACTAATTATTTCTTAATGATCATTTTGATAATTTCCCAAGGAGATCAGGCATAATCAACGAACCCAAACTTGCACTACGTCTTGCATATTTCTGGGTTAATTTAAGCCTTTTCTGCAAGCTTAATTAGCTTTCAGATGAAGTAGACATCACTCTAAGAGAATAGTGGCTGACAGTATGTGTAAAACAAGACTGAGCCTAACTTAGGACTGTTCTATGTGCTAATTTAGAGAAAGTGTTGAAAGGCAAGCACTTCAGGTAGAACAAGATAACTCTGAGTGAACATACATGTCAAAAGTATTAGGATTCTTGTGTTAGCTATTCCCAAGGCTATTGAGAGGCATCACAGCACTCAGGGTACCTCATGAAAGAAGAGAGATGATACAGTGTGGCTCCTGAACCATTAGCATCATGAAGAGCTCCTTGGTAGGCAAAACTCCCAAACCCTACTGCAGAAACACTGCATAAAAATCTTTGGAAATTAAGTCTTCCAAATCCAAACCTTGAAAGGCTCAGTGGGTACCTTCTGTACAGCGACATAGCATCACAAAAAAACTCCCAAGCACTCTGGAAGCCTCACCAGCTTTCCCTAAGTAGTTTAGAATATCAGACCTCTGTGTTGCTTCAGTTATTTTGGTAACGTCTAACTGAACAGGACATGTTTTTCTTTCCCCTTCTCTGCAAGTCTTTTGTGGAAATAGTAAGCGCGTACCAAATTGAATTCAGCTACCTAAAGTTTGGTCAGGCAACAGCTTTTTTTCTCTGTCAATATCTAGCATCTTGAAATTCTTCACTTAGAAATAAAGCAAACTTAAAAGCTACAGCAGAACCAAACACAAGTGACTTGCATTGTTCTGCCTATTCTTCTGTCTACTAATGTATTTCCTTTTCTCACCTTTGTTATTTGCTATTGGATTGATTTGATATGATGATAAAGTCAGATTTACCTCAATAACCAGCCCCTTCAGCGACTGGAACAACTTGGGTCAATCTTAGTGCATTAAATCTATGTCATCTCTGCACATCACTGACCCAAAGGAACTCTTGAACTGTTTCTTTCTTTTGTCACATTTTAATGAGCATGGTTTGATTTCACTTATGAACAGCTCGTATCTTGCCAGGGTGAGTTTATATGGGATGTGTATGCTTGGCTGTTTCCAGAATGCCAGAATTCTCTTTTGTCTTTAATGGCTCCTTCTCAGTTGTCCCTTTTCATAATAACCTTCATTGATATCCTCCATACCATTGGTGTCTCCAGAGTTACAGCCTCAGCCTTCCTTCTCATAACACACCTTGAACTCTTAAAGCCAGCTTTCATTCTATTCTGGTTTCAAGCCCTTCACTTTCTCTTTCCCCTTCTTTCATCTGATTGGTTCCACCTATAAGCCGGTGTCTCCATCTGATGTATCTGAAGTGTCTCACACCACTTGTGATGCTTTTCTCTCTCTTTTGCTCACTCCTTTGCTCCATTCCTTGAATATGACAGGCTCTGCCTTGCCTCTCAGATCATTGGGGCAACTTCTCATAAAAAGTATTAGCCTATTCTTTTCTTTTTCTTTACTAAAGTACTATTTATCTTTAGATTTTACAAAGGTCATACTTGACAAACTGACAACTTCTCTCTCCCAACTTCCAGTATGAGTAAGTGCTTTCCTCTAACAACTTCTGTCTCTACTTATATAACTGCACATTTGGCAGTTATGCATTTCTTTATATTTTGATTCCTTTCTCTTCCACCAGTTCTACCCTTCTCGTGGCTGTATTTTAGAATCAGATAGGTTTTCTTTAAATGCTAATATGTGGGCTTCATCAGGATTAGGTGTGGAGCCCAGTTTCCTGTGTTCATATGATGCTGACATAGTGTGTGTTGTTGCATTAGCACTAAACTATAAAACCCTAGAAGGATAGAGCATTTGTTTTTGCCTAAGCACCTGTCCTAGAGTGTTCAAAACCACGTTTTGTTTATGAAATAAATACGTTAACACTGTTTTAACACGTCTTACTGTAGTTCTCAGCATTCTTGCTGCAGACACAATTCCTTCCTATTTGCCTTGGCTAAAGATAGTTCTTTTCCATACTCGGGTAACACTGAGTTCACTTCAGTTTATTTCCCAAGACTTACTTTAGCCTTCTTCTTCTGGAAGTCTTCCAGCTGTTTATGTCCTGTAACATAGTGTTTATTCCACACTGTTTGGGGATGAAGCACACGTTCCTCATCCACACTCATTTGTGAACTCCTCAAGTTCTTAGGTCATCTCCATGTTTTCCTTTATCTTAAAATGTTATTTGTTTTTTAGAAATCCATACAAGTATATATTGTATGTTGAACATATCCCACCATACCCTTCTACCCTTCCTTTTTTAAACTTCATTTATTAGTCTCCTTTGTTCTCCTAGACATCTTTACTTTTACTTTAATGTTGCATAAACATATACTTTTATTCTTTATTCTTCTTATTATTATTTTGATTTTTAGATTTATTATTGAGTTAGTTTCTCTAGCTATAAAATTCAGGATCTCATTCTCTTTCTCTTTTTTGGGAAGCAAGAAGTTGCTGTGTAAATTAGGTGGCCTAGAACTCCCTATGTTGTTCATTGCTGACTTTGACCTTGTGATTCTCCTGAGATCTGTGATTATAGACATATTCTTAATTATGTTAAAGATAATGGTCAGTGCCAGGTGTGGTGACAAACACCTCTAATCTCAATACTTGAGAGGCAGAGATAGACAGATCTCTATGAGTTGCAGGTCAACCTGGTCTATACAGTAGGTTTCAGGGCACTCAGGACTACATAATGAGATCTACTAATCTGTATAAAAAAAAAACAGGCACAATATTTGGGAATAGTTACTCTTTTTCATGGTGGATTTCATGTTTGTCCTTTATATGTTTTCTATTTAAGAAATAATGAACATGTAATACTTTTGTAGTCATTAAATTCACAATAAAGGTTTTTAAAATTACCATTGATTATTTACTGTGAGCCAGATAGAAGTAACAGATAGCTTGCTGATGGCTCAGGAAAGGCAAAAGCACATGTCACATCTACATTTTATCCTTCATTTAAAATATTTAAATTTAATGGTGTATTGTGATTGGTAATTTACATTTATACAAGGACCTTTTGGACTACCTACATGTCTATTCTATGATCTATGCAATTGCACCTATATTATCTTGTTCGATTTGAACTCCAAGCATTCATTGTCATTTTGTAGAATTAAGTATATGTCACAGTGTTTTATAATATGGAAGTCACTCTAGACAGATTTTATTTGAAATACATTATTGACCTATGACCAAATTCTTCCAATGCATTATTAACGGTGCACTCACCTTTTTGCAGACAAAGTCACCAGGTAAATAAATAGTGGATTTCAATCTTAGCAGCAGGTCATAAATCATCTGTGTGTCACAGCCCTTAAAAAGGAGAACAATAATTTTACAGACACAGCAAAGCAATAAAGACCATTAATAGACACCTGTCTTCATCTCCAATTGCTAACTTACAACAGTTGTGAACTTGCCTTGGTCTAAACTGTAGAGAAAGATGATAGCAATACTAAGAGCTTGGCACTCGATAAAGAAATATGTGTGGAATGAGTCCTGTCTCTACTACCTATTATTATTCAACTGTGTTCTCATTCTTCTGAACTATAAAATTGTTATAAAAATAATCATAAATAAAGCTTTACATGGTGCTTAATGATAGCTATTAATGATAATGTTTAGGCATGTTTGGATTAATACAATTCACAGTATTTGATAAACAGCCTTCTTTTGTAAAATATCATGAATAAAAATTTTGATATTACTTAACTCTAAACCTGTGTGTGCCATTCTTCTCCAACATAATTATTTTCTTCATTAAAGTAGGAAAATACACATAAAAGGAGTATCTGCAATACTTAAAGTATGGGATGGGACAGTCTCTTTCAAATAGTCACCTTTTAGTGACCACTTGCCTATTGGGTGACTATAAATACAACCTATTTGCCTCACCCACACTTATACCCTATAAGATCTGTGACCTTTTTTTCCTTTCACTGAAGATAGATTCTAAGATTTTTTTCTCATACAATATATCCTGATTATACTTCCTTACCTCTATTTCTTTCACTTCTTCCCCACCTTCCCTCTACTTTGGATCCACTGCCTTTCCATCTTGCATTAGAGAATGATAGACTTCTAAGAGATGACTACAAAACATGACAAAATAAAATACAATATGATAAAGGAAAAAGTATCATATTGAAGTTGGACATGATAACCCAACAGAACAACCATAAGAGTCAGAGACCCAGTTGTTCTCAAAGTCAGGAATCCTATAAAAATATTAAATACACACACACACACACACACACACACACACACACACACAGTATCTGTTTCAGACCTCTGCTTGCTGCTTCAGTCTTTGTGAGCTCATATGTGCCTTGTTTACTTGACTCAGTGGGTCCTATCCTCCTGGTATCCTCTATCTCTCCTAGCTCTTACATATTTTCCACCAATTTCACAAAATTATCTGAGCTCAGAGGGGAAGGATTTGATTCAGATCTCCATTTTAGAGTCTGTATACTCTCTGACTATGACTCCCTCCATCTGATCCCCTCTGCTGCTGGAGAAAGCCTCTCTGATGATGATTGGAGAAGGCACTGATTTATGAGTATAGTAGAACATCATCTGGAGTCATTTTGCTGATTTTTTTCTTTATTTGACCAGTCCTTTTTGGTTTTACTTTAGGTCTCTAGGGTATCCAGTCTTTGTTACTTGGTTACCTAGGTAATGTTGGATATGGGTTGCTTCTTGCAGAATGGGTCTTAAGTCAAATCAGACAGTGGTTGGCTAGTCCCACTAGTTCTCAGTCATCATTGATCTAGAGTATTTTGCAGGCAGAATAAATTGTAGGTCAAAGTTTTTGTGGCTGGGTTTGTGTCTAGGTGTCTCTTTTAGTAGCCTGTACAGTATCCTCTTGTACCAAAAAGATTGGAACTTAAGGGTGAAGGCTCCATGTAGGCATCAGTTTGATATCTCCATGTTCAATGAGTTGTGTGGAGGTTGCCCTTGGTAATGGGGCTTTCTATGGTACCCCCTTGGCCAACAACTCAATTGAATGCAACCCAGTACCTCTACTGGAAGCCTTGCCTTACAACAAAAGATGGTTAGTTGAGACAGTATGTTTCCTATTACTAGGAGTCTTCATTAGGATCACCTTCATAGACTCCATAGCCTCCCAATTCCAGTCAAATCTCCCTGTGCTCTATCCCTCCATCCAATCTCCCTTCCTCCCTACACTGATATCCCCATGTTCAGTTTCCATGAGTTTGTAAGCTTTTTGTTGTTTCTGTTGTTGGTAAACAAATTTCCTCTGTGACAGTGATAGGATGCAGACAATTATTTCAATTTTCTTGTATCTGTGGAGACTTGATTTATATTTGTATATATGTGGTCAACTTTGGATAAAGTTCCATGAGATTCTTAGAAGAAGGTATTTTTGTGTGTGTGTGTGTGTGTGTGTCTGGGAGAAATGTTCTGCAAATACCTGTTATGTCCACTTGATTTGTCACACCTGTAGGTCCAATATTTCTCTGTTTAGATTTTTTTGTCTGGATGACCTGTCCATTGGTGACAGTGGGATACTGAAGTTTCATACTATCAATATATGAGGATCAATAATTGATTTTAACCATAGTAGTGTTCCTTTTACAGACTTTGTTGCACTTATGTTTGGGGAACTGATGTTAAGAAATTGAAATGTTAACTTGGTAGATTTTTCCTTCAATGAGTATATAGTGTTCTTCCCTATCCCTTTTGAATAGTTTTAGTTTGAAGTGTATTTTGTTAGCTATAAAAACAGCTACATTGGTTTGCTTCTTAGGTTCATCTCTTTACCTGAGGTAATGTCTATCTTTGATGCTGAAGTGTTTTTCTTGAATATAGCAGAAAGAGGGATCCTGTTTTCTAATCCATTCTGTTAGTCTGTGACATTTTATTGGAGAATTGAGACCACTGATATTGAGAGATATCAATGACCAATGAGTGTTGATTTCTGTTATTTGTTGTTGTTGGAGGTGTTGGTGGTGATGGTATTGAAGTGAGTGTGTGTGTGTGTATGTGTGTGTGTGTATGTGTGTGTGTATGTGTGTGTGTATGTGTGTGTGTTTCCCTTCTTTTGTTTTGCTTGTGTGAGATTATTTATTTCCTGTGTTTTTATGGATATAGTAAATCTCCTGAGGTTTGAGTTTTTAGGGCTGCATTTGTAGATAGATATTGTTTATAGTCGTCATTATCATGGAATTTCTTATTTTCTCCACCTATGATGTTTGAAAGTTTTCCTGGTATTGTAATCTGTGCTGGATTTGGTGGTCTTTTATTGTCTACAGCACATCTTTCCAAGCCCTTCTGGCTTACAGAGTCTCCATTGAGAACGAAGTCAAATTCTAACAAGTCTGCCTTTATATATTACTTGTTTTATTTGCAGCTTTTAATATTCTTTATTTCTTCTGCATGTTTTGTGTTTTGATTATTATGTGGTGACAGGGTTTTCTTTTCGGTCCACCTATTTGGTGGTCTATATACTTCTTTTACTTTTATAGGCATCTCTTTCTTAGGTTAGGAAATTTTTCTTCTATGATTTTGTTGAAAACATTTTCTGCTTCTTTGATCTGATATTCTTCTCCTTCCTCTATACCTATTATTCTTAGGTTTGATTTTTTCCTAGTGTCCCAAATTTCCTGGATTATTTGTACCAGGAGTTTTTTTTAGGTTTGCCATTTTCTTTGACTGATATGCCCATTTATTCTATTATATCTAAAATGCATGAGATTCTCTCTTCCATGCTGTATATTTTCCTGGTGAAGCTTGTAATTCTTTGAGTTCTTAAATTTTTTATTTCCAGATTTTTTTTCATTGTTTCTATTTCCAGTGTCAGGTATTGAATGCTTTTATTTCCTTACACTGTTAATTTGTGTTTTTCTTGATTTCCTTAAAGGATTTATTATTTTCCTCTTTAAGGACCTCTATCAAAGGATGCTCCAACATATAATAAGGACACATGCTCCACTATGTTCATAGCAGCCTTACTTATCATAGCCAGCATCTGGAAAAAACCCAGATGTCCTTCAACAGAGGAATGGATACAGAAATGTGGTACATTTACATAATGAGTACTACTCAGCTATTAAAAACAATTACTTCATGAAATTCTTAGGCAAATGGATGGAGTTAAAAAATATCATCCTGAGTGAGGTAACCCAGTCACAAAGTAATACACATGGTATGCACTTACTGATAAGTGATATTAGCCAAAAGCTTGGAATACCCAAGATACAATTCACAGACCAGATGAAGCTCAAGATGAAGGAAGACCAAAGTGTGGATGCTTCAATTCTTCTTAGAAAGGGAAACAAATACTTAAGGGAGGAAATATGGGGACAAAGTGTGGAGCAGAGACTGAAGGAAAGGCCATGCAGAGGTTGCCCCACCTGGGCATCCATCCCATATATAGACACCAAACCCACTATTGCAGATGCCAAGAAGTACATGCTGACAAGAGCCTGATATAGCTGTCTCCTGAGAGGCTTTCAGAGCCTGACAAATACAGAGGCAGATGCTCACAGCCAAACATTGGAATGAGCAAGAGGTCCCCAATGGAGGAGTTAGAGAAAGGACTGAAGGAGCTGAAGGGGTTCAACCCCATAGGCAGAACAACAGTACCAACCAACCAGAGGCCCCAGAGCTCCCAGGAACTAAATCACCAACCAAAAAGTACACATGAAGGGACCCATGGCTCCAGCTACATATGTAGCAGAGGATGGCCTTGTCGGACATCAATGGGAGGAGAGCCCTTGGTCCTGGGAAGGCTCATTGCAACAGGGTAGGGGAATGCTAGGTCATGGAGGTGGGGGTGAGTGAGTGAATGAGTGAGTGAGTGAGTGAGTAAGTGAGTAGGTGGGTAGGTGGGTGGGTGAGTGGGGGAGCACCCTCATAGAAGCATGGGGAGGGGGGATGGGATAGGGGGTTTCTGGAGGGGAAACTGGGAAAGGGGATGCATTTGAAATGTAAATAAATAAAATATCTAATAAAATAAAAAAGGACCTCTATCATATTCATATAGGCTGTTCTAATGTGTTTATTTTAGTGCTTTAGCTATGTTATTCAAAGCCTGCTGTGGTAAGATTACTGGTCTCTAGTGGAGACAAGTTGCCATGACTGTTGCCTTTAGGTGGGCAATGGCATCTGGGTTTGGGATAATGATAGGTCTAGGTGCTCATCTCTGGATTTAACTTTGGTAGGGTGGGTGTTTTTTCCCTTCCTTTCTGTTTCCCTTGGTTTCTAGATTTTCAGAGAGTGTGGTGTTTGAATGCTGCCTGTTTTTCTGGCCCATTCAGTTCATAGGAAATGGCTGTGATTTTGGGTCC